AGCGCCACCGATGTTCACCCCTGCAGTGGGGCAGAGAGAGGCTGCGGTGGGCCTGGGAGCCCTCGGGGACTCCCCCCAGCCCCCTATCCCAGCCCCACTGAGCTATGGGGCCATCGTCAACACCGCTGCACCTCAAGCCCAGCTGGCTTTCTCCTGACCCGGGCTTTCTCCAGCCACGTCTGGGATAGGAGAGCAACTCCACCTTCTGTTTGAATGGGAATTTGTTTCTTCAGTATAACAACTAAAAGGACGGCTGTCAGGACGGATCCCTCCCTCCGGCAGTTCTCCTCTCCCTTTGCACAAGGGAATGGCAGGGTTGGGACGGCAAAGTGCTGGCGTGATGCTCAAGCCCATGTTATCCTGGCTCCCGGGGTGCTCTCAGGACCACGGCTCCCCACCAGCAGGAACTGGGGGGAACCTGGCCCCTCCTGCAGCCCTGGGCACGGCTACACAGGCACTGGGGGGAGCAGGGACGTACCTTTGGGGCCGAACAGCGTGGCATAGCAGGGCTTGTGGCAGAAGGGCTTTCCATCGTGCTGGGGAGAGAGGGAAGTGTTAGGATGCTGAGCGGCGACCACGATTCCCTCAGGATCGTTTCCAGCCCCACTGGTGTTCAGCGACCACCGTGGCCGTGCCTACACCCCAAAACACACCCAGCCTGGGGCAGCTCGGCCGAGGGGCATCTCCAAGCCCCGACCGGCTGCGTGCCACCGGGACCCGGTGGGGGGGCACTGTGCCCGTTAAGCATCCTGTGCGTCGTCAGGCCGTTGTTGGAAACGCAGAGCACCGAGCTTTGCCCCCCCTCGCCTTGGCCTGAGACCAGAGGCCCCGCGTGGGCACTGGTCCCAGCCCAGCTGCTATCAGCCCCACCATCACCCGGGGCAATTATCGCAGGAAGGCACAGGGCAGGCGATAACCCCCCGAGATCCCCACGGCTGATTCTCAAGGGCAGCAGGAACCAAGTCCATGGGAAAAGCAAGAGCGTTTGTGGCTGGGGCAGGGGGTTGGCGGGGCTGCCGCACACCAACCGGCACCGGAAACCCACTGGGACCCCCCCTCAGGCATGAACCCAGCCCATGGCCAGCTCGGCTCCATCCAGCATCTCAGCCCTGCTTTGTGCTCGGTGCTCCTGCCCTCCATCCCCTCCGCTGCCGGGCAAGGACGCCTTGCCCAAAGCAGGCAGGGCGGTAGCCGACCCTTCCCTCGCCTCCCCGAGCCGTGCCATGCCGAAGGAGGGTGGGAGTAGCCGGGGGAGTGAGCAGGCAATGGGCTGGCACCGGGCAGCGGCAAAATCCCGCAAGGCATAAATACCTTGTGCTCGCAGCGTTACCATGCCGGAGGGGAGGGTAAACATTTAGCTGGTCTCCCCGCGACACCTTTCCAACCCAGCCGGACACGCCAGCTTGGAAGGAGGGAGAAAAAGCAGGGAAGGGCCAAATCCTGCTGTCGGCACAGTCGATGGGGGCTTGGCTGCCATCCCCCCTGGGAGCAGAATCTGGCCTTATATGGAAAAGCAGCAAATCCCCCGGGCTTAACCCGTCCCGAAGCACAGATCCACCCGCACAGCCCCATCCTTCCCAGCAGACCCGGCCTCACTCCCCCACAGGCTGGTGACAACTGGCACAGCTGTCCCTGTGGCCACCGGCCGCTCCCCAGCTGTGCCACATGCCAAAACCGGCTAAAGAGCTGGTGACGCTCTGGCATGACAGGCGCTGCCAGGGCGTGGGGTGTCACGCAGGGGCATCACGCAAGAAAAACACAGCTGCTCCCAGACCCAAGCACCTGCCACCGCCAGCGCAGCACCCTC